GAACTCCACTGATCACTGCTTCTCACTAGAACTCTAGGAAATGCCTCTTGAAGTCATTCACTAGTGAGTACATGATGATTGTTATTATCAGAAGAGGGTTTTTGTGGAGATTTTAGTAATTTCAATAGTTGAAACCATGAAATCATGAAATGGCCATCCAGTGTTTCCAGGTTTTTCCTGGTGTTCCACCTTCAATGGATTCATGATTTCAACTATTGAACTTACTAAAATCTTCATAAAACCCTTACTAATAAACACAATTCTATTAAGTATGAATCAGAATAATGAAACTATGGATACTACTTATTATCCTTACACTGTTTAGTGAAATCATATAGATTCATTGTCCAACTATGATGTCATAACAAGATGACATTCAATGAAAAATACATCTAAAAATTAGTATAAATTTCAATTAGATACAATGTATATACATGTCATTGTCAATTATATTTTGTCAATGTCATATAACCTATTAACCTATATTACTATAATAAACATAATTAATCTTAATATATGATTTGTGTCAATAATATAATTTGTATATGTTTAGTTTCTAAACAAAATTGATACTGATCAATGTTAGATCATCATTGAAAATCTAGAAATGCTCTTACACGGTTACATGCATACAACCACTGACAGGGAAGTCTTACTCATTGCCTTCTCGCCAAGGGGGTGTTGCTTATGAAGCTGAAAGAACGAAAAGGGAATGTCCAACGCCTTAACCGGGTTAGTGGACACGGAAAGTTTACCTAAGAGGGTTGGAAAACCCGATTACAAATCAATAGGGCACATGGGCTCCAGGATCGTGAAGAAAACAAAGGGCGTATGAACCTGTTGTTGGTCACCGGCTATCATGTGAGTGCATCTCTTGATGTTGCTCCACTGTCTTGTGGATTAGACATTTAATTAAAAGGCTTAGTGTGTGGCCCCCTAAGAAAACCACCTGCTTCGGTTCGGACACTGAGGCAGTATCCTATCCCTCACACAAATCGAATGATTTATGTAGCGCATACCTGTTTGGTGCCTCTCTGTACCGATGATCATGTGTTTAAATAAACAAATATGTTTACTTTCTAAACAAAACTGATACCGATGAATTTTAGACCATCATTAAGAACCTGGAAACATTAAATAGCCATTTCGTTCTAATGTGGGATTCCTTAGAAATGCACGTCAATAAAATACACACGAGATTCAAACCCAGAAAATTTAGTTACACGTAAAAGTCTTAATGATAGTTTTTCATTGATCGGTACATTATCTCAATAAAACCTTAACAATATCCACAACTTTGTACTGATAATTATCATGTGCTCAATAGCGACTAGCTTTAAATGTAATTCTCGAAGTTCTAGTGAGAAGCTATGACCAAGGTAGTTCAACAGTGACAAGTGTGAGACAGTTATCCACTGAAGACAATGAAATTGGTTGAGTAATGTCGTGGACTGACTAGAGTCAGATATCAACACTAGTCAATACCGGCTCAGTGATCCCGAAGCTAAGTGTTCGGGAGAGACTGAGGACCCTGAGTTCGAATTTCATGTGTGAGCTTGTAGATGAGCACCTCTGAAGACTACCATTCTTAAGCGAAACGGTCGTCCAGTGCTTCTAGATTCTAAATGATGGTCTAAGACTGATCGGTTCATAGTTTCAAATAAAGCTCAGCAATCTCCACAACTCTATAACGAAAATACTTATTAATTCAAGGGGATTTATGGAGATTGTAGGATTTTCATAGATTAAATCAGGAACTCATCTTAGTTAAACCTCTAAGGAAAATATAGAAACACTTGATGGTTGTTAATTCCTAGTAAAGGACTCCCGAGCAGTAAAGATTCACTGAGCCTCTCACGTGAATCGAAACTAGGACCCTCTTCCTCTCGCACAAACGACTAATCTTTAATCCCCTTTAGACAGTACACAATGGTGTAAATGTCTAATCCCAAGCAACTTACCATATTTTTCAATCTTCATCCATTGCCTTCTGTCAGTAATTGTCTCAAACACAACATAACCCAACCCCATTGGTCACGGATTCTCATTAACATAGTAAAAGGATATGAAATCAACTGGTTTTATGAAGATGTTTATTTAGTTAGAATCTTACGAGTATCGTTACTAAGATGTTGACAACCCCCATAATGATAAACACTAGATGTTCATTAGCGATTAGATTCGAGAGGAAATTTCTGGAGTTCTAATGAGAAGCCGTAATCAATGAAATTCGAACGTGTCGTTTATGAGGAAGTTATATACTATACGTAATGGAAGGTAGTTGGAAACTATCACTGACTGATTAAAGTAATACTTGTACACCACTGAATCTCAGCCCAATAGTTTGGAAGTTAGGTATTCACGCGCGAAGATGAAGGTCACATGTTCGATTCTCTGATAAGTAGTCGTGGATTCTAATTGCTGAGGAATCCCATACTCTGAAGAGTGGCTGTTCAGTAATTTTAGGTTGTATTTGGTTGTGTAACTTAGATCGATTCTTGATCTTAATAAAATTTGGCAATCTCCATAAACCCATAATCATGAAGATAGTTTAAAATTGATTGGTCACTGGGTGGTAAGTAATGTCATGTATTTCAGGTCCTTCTTAGTGCAGATAGAATCCTTTCGACCAAGTTGCGACGTCTAGTAGTCTAGTAGTCTAGGTGACTCGACATTGCGTGCACTATGTTAAAATAAGATGGTGGTTGGTGGTAGTCGACAGTGCTACAGGAATTGAGTTGCGTCTCGGATAACCCATGTATATCGTCTCTCAAAGTGAAACTAAATAAGACGGGATCAAATTCGTCAGATAGCATCAGTTCCCTCAAGATTACAGGTAGACCTTGCTGACGAGTGCTAAATAGCACGCAACCTAAATCCAAAGCTTCCTACCGGCCACCTCTAACCACTGTCTGATAAAGATAGTATTGTTAACCATAATACGTGCTTTATTCAATACCGTATATTTGGTTACAGTAAAATATTCTCAAAGCAAGATGTTTACATTTTGCAAACATTTAACTTTTGATCGCTCAACATATATATATTAACGGTCACTTATATTCATCTATAAATCATCCATAAGACTGATATTAACCATTTTTCTTACCATGGCACGAAACGAACCACTGAACTGCAAGACACTGGTCTGATATATTAAGAAAAGAGTTAATCAGTTTCATTACCATGATATCTCTTTATATCATCGTATATATCTTTATTGTATGAATTCTTTAGTGATGACTATTTGTTCCTTTGAATGACAGAGGAAGAAATTGAATTAACTACTGAAATGACAGTTCTTGAGTTTTCTAGTAATTAGATTTATGTTGTAGTGAACGAGAACACAAATGTCAATAACCAAATGTATTCGAATGCAAAATTACAGAACATCATAGTAAAATCAGAGAACTATACAGTGAATCCTTCATTGATACTTCGTTTCCATACTAATCCTTCTTCTTTGTTCTCATTTGTCTTTTCTTCAATTTTCTTAACCTTCTGTTGTCAGGTATTTCATTTTCGATTGATGATACACATTACTTATATCTATCAACTTCAGTAGTATATACTACAGTAATAGTCTGCTACAAATCAATATTCATTATTGCATCGATTCATCAGGTTGTCAATAGCTACACGATCATTCGTTTCAATGCTTTAGTTTTTACATTTAAATACTCATTTTAAAGATATTAGTGTTTGTTCTCGACATGAATGAAATAATCAAATTTAACATTGTCCATCCAACTCTATACTGACCATTTCTTTCTAGTTGTTTTCAGTTGTTATTCATTCTATTCATTTATGTTTTCAGTTCTCCATGTAGTATGCTCTTTAACCTTACTTATTTCCGTTTCCATTCTGGATTCTAAGTTAACGCTTGTTTCATGATTCAATTTGATGATTTTCATCAATCTATGTCCTATACACTTCCAATATATTTTCCAAATTTCCTACTCAGATGGAAGTTGGCTTGTCTTCTTCAATAGTAGGCTATTGCTGATTGTATCTTGTCAGCGGATATTGGTGTATCATGCATAGATGATTGTTTATAAATACTTGTATCTTTTTGATGATGATTGTAGTAGTTCTCCATGTTAAAACTCTGTACAACATAACTGTCTTGATGTTTGTATTGAAGATTTTGAATTTGCTATTGGATTGAAGATAGTTGTTTTCAGTTCTATATATCCTTCAAATGTAGGGATTCCTTGTTCATTGATGATGCTTCCCAGGTACATGAATGTTTCCATATCTTCTAGAATGTGAATGTGTTGGTATTCTCCATGTTGTATTTGAAGATCTTGCATTTTCCTTTATGTCTATCTTTAAATGTCTACTACTACTGAAAACTATTGAATAAATTAAATAGATGAATTACAGTTAACTTTACCTAGAATTTCTGTCTAAAGCAAATCAAATAAATTCCTTAAGTTAATTTTTACACCATACAATGATAAAACTATGTATACTACTTATGTATGTACATCAGTAGATAGGCATGTATGTGTATGTATTTATGTATTCAACACATGCATATATATATATATATATATATATATATATATATAACATAATGTATAAGCCCTCCATACCCTCACCCCTCCCCAAAAATTTGTATATGAACAATCCGACAAACTATATACATATGTACGTAGTAACAACTAACCTATGTCTAGGCTTTTCTATCATCCTATCAATAAGAATCATCATCATCATCAACATCAGCATCATCATTAAAAAGAAAAAGAAAAAAAAGAAAGAAACATTCATCTATTGGATGGTAACATTTTATCCAGTGAAAATTCTAGAAATTGTCAAGGTCATTGAATTTGATTTTATTAAGTTCAAATAGGCATATCATTTATTTACCATAGAAATAAAAATGTTTAACATCATTTATAAATTACTATGGAAACTATCATTATTACTTACAAGATGTTTGATTCCATATGAATTTCATGAAAATTCATTTTATTACTTATATTCAATTCGTAATGTTATGTACATTAATAAGTAGTATAGAAATAAATGTAAAAGAATTAAGCAATCTTGATGATGTAATAAATAATCATGATAATAATGATTCTGATCCTGATCATGATGATGATCCCGATCATGATCATGATGTAATGAATAATGGTATCAATGATATAATAAAAGTATTAGAAACTGTAAATAATCTATCTATTCAAGAATATACATCTATGAATGATCATGTTTCTAATAAAGAAAATACTATGGAATTGATACGTTATCCACGTTCAATTTCATTAAATTCAACGACAGATTTCAATACTGAATATCAAAATATACCATGTTATTTTCAATGTATTTTAAGATCAAATAAAAATAATCAAGAAATTAGAAAATTTCTAAAACAATATTTCATGTATCTCATCAAAAAATTGCTATATTAGATTGTTTGAATTCTTCTGTGACAACGACGGTGACGACGACGACGACGACGACGACAACAGCAACAATGAATTCGACATCGACTTCATCGATCATAAATAATCTATGGAATCAATCAATTATGAGTCAATGTGTTACACATTTTACTAAACGTTTATTACATATCATTATTGGTACATTATCAAATCATTTCAATATGGAATGGTTTATTATTACTTCTAATCAATTCAGTAGTAGTATATATCATTCTATACAAAATTATATTCAACCAACTACTGATTTATATTTAACATTAACTATACCAATTTATCGTTTAGATAGAGATGATTTCAATCTATTCTCTACATGGTTAAGATATATATCCATTGATGGTAAACAATTACGTTATATAGATGTAATGCTTATAGCTAATTTATCATTGGATTATTTTATATTACAAGATTGTATAAGAAATGATGAGATTATTATCAATCCCTTAGTAACAACATTACCAGATTCACGTATAGAATTATATAATGATTATTATACAAATTGTTTAATCTATTGGATATATACATGTCCGAATTATTCACAATTTATTATTATAGCTGATAGAAAAACCCATAAACATTATTGTAAAACAATGATAAATCCTATGGAATCATCTACAATGAAATTATCTACGAAACAATCAATGATTAAGAAGTTACGCACAAAAAGATCATTAAAAAAACATGATCCATCTAAATTATCAATGATTCCTGGTTCTTATGGAAGAACTACAACATCACCACCACCACCAACAACAACAACAACAGCGACAACAATCTCATCGTTGACAACATCTTCAACTGAAACTTGGCATAGTAACCAATCTAAGATGATCAATCATTCAAATATTTCCACCATAATGAACCATCAGACATTATTATCTACCGTGAAAGATTGTATTTTATTAGAAGATTATATAAAACAATATATAAATGATAAATGTGAACAAAAAATCACATGGTTACTAAATATGTTAACTATACTACTTATCATGTTATTAATCATGATTATTATTGTATTTGGTTTATTATTAATATTTAGTTATTTTATAAAACAATATTATTATTACAACATGAAACTAAGATAAGATGAATTAGAGGAGTAGGGTTACTAAGTTTATTTGAGTGAATCAATAAAAGACAAAGGGGTGTACAGTTTCTATGCAACATTTAAATCAAACATTTTCTATCATGGAATAAATGATTGTAATCATATTATGTTTCATCTATGGATATAAGAGTGTTTTAACCGATCTAGTTTTTTTTTGTTTTTTTTTCTTTTGTTTATTGATTAAATATAATCATATATTTGACTACTCATAAGTAGTATTTGTATTGTTAATCAATTTATGAAAGAATTTTTTTAATGTCAGAAGGGTTTTATGGATAGTATAGTGATTTCAATGGTTGAGATCATGAGTTAATTGAAATTCGATTTCGTGGATTGGTTGAAGTTATGCATGAAAACCGTCGGATAACAGCTGGCTTAGTGGTCTAGTGGTTAATCGGTCGAGCGCATGACTGATATGTCCTAGGTTCGAATCGCGTGGGGGGCGGGATCGTAGATGAGCACTGCTGAGGAGTCCCATATTAGGTTTTTCATGGTGGTCTAGCTTCCACTGACTCATGATCTCAACCATTGAAATATTCTAATGGTTGAATTGGAAAAACTAGAAACATTGGACGACCATGAAGTTCAACAGCATCTGTTGTAAATGAAGTTATTCACTGAAGACAATGACGGACAGTGGTGCAATATCGTAAATTGGTTGAAGTTAGACATGAACACCATTTTTTGATGACTGGCTAAGTTATATCGAGGTTGAGCGTTCACCCACGAGAACAAGGTTCCTAGGTTTGAGTTCCGCGTACGAGATCGTAGGTGAGTACTGTTAAGAAGTCTTATACTAAGACAAAACGGCCGTCCACTACTATACTACTTATAATTTTATTAGTAGTGATTACAATTCTCTTAGGTATTTAGTTATTTTATAAGACAATATTTATTATTACAAACAAACAGAAGAAAAGGTGTACAGTTTCTATGCATCTAATTGAATATCAATGAAACTTTGAATTATGAATGACTGTTGAGTGACGATAAACTGATCTTCAGTGTCCAACTAATAACTAGGACTAAAGGCTTATAAATTACTATGAGATTAAGGTTAAGAATTAGATTTAGGGTTTTTCATCGCGAAGTGACATCAGCTAAAATGCCCAAACACTATTTACTCAAAATTCAAGATCTGTGATCGTAAACCTGATTGGTTCATCTATAAATTATAGTCTCACTTGAACATTTTCTATAATCGGATAGATGAATGTAATCATATTATGTTTCATCTATGGATATAAGAGTGTTTTAATCGATCTAGTTTTTTTCACTGATTGAAATCATGAGTCAATTGAAGCTAGACCACCATGAAAATCCTGGAAGCTCTAAATGACCGTCTCGTCTTAGTATGGGACTCCCCAGCAGTGTGCATCCACGATTGGTTGAAGTTAGACATTAACATTGTTGGATAATGGCCAGCCCAGAGGTCTAGTTGGCTAAGCACCTGGCGCGAGACTGATAGGTCCTGTGTTCGATCCAGTTTTGTTTATTTTTTTGTTTGTTGATTAAATATAATCGTATATTTGACTACTCATAAGTAATATTTGTATTGATGATCAATTTATTAAAGAATATTTTAATGATTGAATTGATGAGTTGATTAAAGCTAGAGTATCATGGAAAGACCGGTAGTACTGGACGACTGTGAAGTTCAAACGTATCTGTTGTAAATGAAGTTAGTCACTGCGGACAACGGTGGACGGCGGATCAATGTCGTGGGGTGGTTGAGGTTAGATATTAACACCGTTGAATGTTTGTTTAGTGGTTTAGAGGTTCAGTGATCGACAATGAGCCCGAAAGTCCCAGATTCGAGTTTTATATGCGAGATTGTGAATAAGCACTGATGAAGAATCATATACTAGGACAAAAAGGTTGTCCAGTACTTCCAGATTCTTCATGATAATCTAGCTTTAATTGACTTTTGAATTCAGTTATTAAAAGTTACTACACTATCCACAAAACCCTATCCCCATTACTAAAGAATGTTTGTACAGTCTGATCAGTTTTAGACAAACAGAAGGAACTGCTTATTCTGGTTACACTTTGAATTTATTGCATTCTCCAAGACCCTCATTAAATACTATTTTTTGTCGTTTTAATAATACTTCTAGTGAGCTTTTCTCCTCAACTTTAAACGTACTGACGTTGTTACAGATCGGGTTTATGGAGCTATCTGTTAACTTCAATCTATCTATCTATCAAATCAAGCCCCAATAAGTCAAGTGATGGACTGTCTGTCAGAAATATTACACCCTTCTCCGTAAACTTTTTGACTGTCATTTCACAATGAATTTCACCAGTAATATTTAGAATTCCCCAAGATGCACTATGTGCTGATTGATAAGTTGAGCATATTTGTGAGCTCCCAATTTTCTCTCACGTTCTTCTGCTTAACAATGTTATCTCGGAAGCTATGCCTAACCGTATGTGGGCATCATACCCATTAGTCTTGAGAGAAACATACTTTCTATGGTTATGGGAGCGGATTTTCTTAAGAGCTACCGTTACTGTAGCTGTGTCATGGCTTGATGGCGTTTTAGGGTTTTGCAATGACAATTTTTGTGCCCTTTTCTGGAACATATAGTACAACGATAATTTTTAAACGGACAAAACTTTTTGAAATACCAACCGACACGTAATCAGCATGAGAATGATGGTTTAACGCTGTCATTACGATAATTCTGCATGCTGGAACCTTGTAAGACTGTATTGACGTGAAGGAAGCGGTTATCGTTCTCTACCATCGAGGTATCATGCTTCAAATTCACTAACCTTTGGAATTCGGTAGTTACTCCCTGCAGGGATGTCAGCACCCTCGGATGAATGCAGGTTACAGATAAATACTAGGCATTTAAACTGGTCTTCATTCATGGAAGACAAACGTAAACACACATAGTTAATTCATGTTCGAGTCGGTAATCACAGTTATTCACTTATCAGCATAACATACATAGGAAATAATATATATATCAGAATTACAGTTTCTTCATTTAACTGTACTGAAATTGTCTTTTCGATAGTCATTCATTACTTGTCAACATAGAAACCGAATCCAGTCGTAACAAATAAACATTCAATAGAACATTGAACAAACGTTCCTTTACAAAGTGAAACTAACTATAGTTTTAAAACAAACACCATGTAATCTTCAATGTGAATAAACGATACGTTAGTTGACAACTACCATTTGAATGACATTAACTTTATACATGTTTACAAATAGATTTAAGGTCCTATTGTCATTGTTTGAATGATGCATTTGATTAATGAACTTGACATTTTTGATTCATTGTATAAGTTGATTTCATGAATGGATCAATGTTAGACGACGATCGAAAAACTGGAAGCATTGGATGGATGCTGAGGATTCTCATACTAGGACAAAACATCTTTTGAATGCTTCTAAGTTCCAGGTCATAAGTACAATCACTGTGAAGGTCATGAATGCACACTACTCAGTCTGGCCATACTAGGATGTAATATCTGTTCAGTGCTTCCTACTTTACGATGGATCTCACTAAAATGGTTCTGTGATGTAATATGTAAAATTATAGTGTATAACTGATTGAATGACAAATGATGGTTATTTCAAAAACAGAATAATATGATCTAATTCCAGACTACCAGGAAACACTAGTCGAAATGTTGAATAGGAAACTCTCCACCGTGTCGACCAACTATTTAACCTATAGATTTCTTGTTAAGCTCAATTAAAATGACATATAGAATTGTTTACTTATATATGCTTGTTACCCCTCATAAAGAAGCATAAACCGTCCATCCATCTAAATCTGTCTTAGACAGTTCTTTTCAGTTCTTTCTAGTTGCTATTCATCCTTTTCATGTCTGCTTTCAA